GATTACTGTTCGCAAATAGTTGAGGATTTGGTTTGTCTAGTTTTAGGGGAATGCGAAGATTAGCCCAGGATAGGAAACAGTGGAAGTACCTGTCCAAACAATCTTGGGACTGACGACATTATGATGATGTAGTTAAATTTAAAATATTTAGAATATATTTATCGCAACATTGTTTATAAAAACAATTGTTTTTTAGTTCTTTGAAATCTAAAACCATTATTTTTTAACAACGTGTGCTAGTCTGGCGTTATTTAAACATTGCTTGTATATTCAAAAATATAAAGTAAGGAAGTTAGAAAAAAGCAGTCCAAGCATTTTTCGATGACCTACTCTAGATTACTTAATACTTCGTTGGATTTATTATTTAATTTTTCATTTGACGATTTTGTAAAGTAACCTCGTAACATAAGTGTTCCAATTGTCTTTTTAAAACAATACCACGAATGAATTTATAATTAATTAAAACGTTAAACAATAGGCTGCTACGGTACGGTTATTGACATATATTACGCTTAATATTCTTGTACCTAAATTTTTTAAATCATACATTTTCTTTTGATTAACTAAATTTTGTTTAAACCAGATAGGTCGACTGTTGTTCAATAAACATTTCCTCTAAACTTTCTATAACTAATAGAATAGCATAAAATGAAAGTAGGTACCATACGTTAGCGATTTTAGATTTCACAGCATTCAAGCTAGAAGAAGCGCAAAAAGATGCAGAAATAAGTGCAATCCTACCTTTTATTCCTGGATTTCCTCGCAATCTTCGCGAACACTAATCACCACCGACTAACACTAATTTGTCTCACGAATTCGCCTAAAAAGAAAAAAAAAAAACATTTAGTACAATATTCAGTTCAGAAAGTGTATTATAAGTTGAATTTTACGAGCATCATTGATTCGAAAATTAACTGACCGATTAAGTTTAAGTTAGACAAACGATTTTAGGAATAAGCCTTGTATGAGAACGTTTACTAACTTTTCAAATTCATTTTACTGGTTTAGCAATTTAGCTAACTTAGTTGGCTAATGCTTTTGGCTGTTGCAGAACATACTAAATTGCTGATCTCTATTAACGTTCTAATTGAGTGTAGGGTCAAACCACTTGTTTTGCTAGTTGAGATGCAAATAAATCTCAAACTGTTGCAAACAGAGAATTGCACCAGTTGGAATATCGAACTACCTACTATGAACGCAAAGTTTTCTTTATTGACGTAAAGTTTGACGAGTTAAATGTTGAACGTGATGGTAATAACGTTTTCTTTTAGTCGTTACAGGAGCTACGGATGGACTTGGGAAGGCTTATGCGGAAAATCTTGCCAAAAAAGGATTAAACATTGTCCTCATTAGCAGGACGCAGTCTAAATTAGAGGCAGTTGCCTCAGAAATAGGTAATGAATTCGCTTTTCAGTGACTAACTTGCTTATGTACCTACAGCAACTATGTTCCTGATTAGGGAGAATTAACTGATTATATCTGTTCAAGTACTTCAAAGTTTATCAACTTTAGGTTATCCTTCGGTGCTATAACTTTCTGGTTGATAATAATGACGAACTACACTACTAGAATTATGTAACGAAATTACCAATGAGTGTTTCACTTCATTTACAGAAGCTCTCGAGTTCTAAACAGTGTATCCCATCGATTATGTTTTGGTAGTTATAGGTATTTTTGCCTTCTGCGATATATACACTTGAAAGTTTCATATCGGCGTTATTAGCGAAACAAGTAGCTTTAATAATAATCGACACAGTTTAATACTCGATAATTCTTGTTTTTAACTAAGGCAGTCCGGTTGAAATTTCTAACTTCATACTGGTCAATAATCAAAATCATTGACAACAGTGGTTTCTGACGGAGTTAAAATTTTAATAATTTTGCTCCTAGAAAGAAATATTTAACACACTGAATTCATCTTAACATTTCTAGGCATTTTTATAAACTTTTATTAAGTTGTTTATTTTACTATTTTTCACAATTTGGCCGGACTATTTCTTAACAACACAACGGTCGCGAAAGTTTAAAAAGACATAACTTCATTTATAGTTTTCTGTGTATTTAAAAGCTAATATTCGGCAGATATAAAGGACCCCGCTAGATCCTTACGGAAAATAGTCCCGTATCAAACTTTTAGAAACAAAATTATTTCAATGTCGACTTACCAGGTTTTACCTATTTCTGATACAAGGGACTTTAAACTTGAATTACTATTGAAACTAGCCTTTTTTAAACATTTGAAAATCGAGCAAAAATTATTTTGTTTTCATTTCTTTTTAGAAAAAGAGTACACTGTTCAAACGAAAGTGATTGCAGTGGATTTTACAGAACCAGTAGAAATTTACCATGTTATAGAAAAGCAATTGGTGGGTTTGGAGATCGGAACTTTAGTGAATAATGTTGGAATGAGTTATCCCTATCCTGACTACTTCCTCGAGCTTAAGGACAGGGATAAAACGTATCCAGAAATTATAAATTGCAACATTTTATCGGTAACGAACATGTGCAAAATCGTGATGCCGGGAATGGTGGAAAGAGGTCGAGGGGTTGTTATCAATATATCGTCAACTGCAGCTCAAATTCCAAGTCCTTTACTCACCGTCTACGCCGCTACTAAGGCATACGTTCAAAAATTTTCGGCCGACCTAGGAGCCGAGTATGCAAAACATGGCATAACTGTTCAATGTACTTTACCCGGTTATGTGGCAACAAAAATGTCAAAAATACGATCGTCTACGTGGATGGCTCCTAGTCCGAAGAAATATGTCACGAGCGCTCTCAGAACTGTAGGTGTACAAGACAACACCACCGGCTATTTCCCACACACGCTCCTCGTAGGGGTTGTTCATACCCTCTACGCCTTATCGCCAAAACTTGCCAAGTGGTTCATTATACGAACTATGGAGAATATTCGAAACCGTGCGAAACGCCGAAATATTTATTAAACTTGTAATAATGATATAATTTTTAATAAACAATTTGTTAGTTATTTATGTTTATGCTTTTTATTAAAAAAAAAAAAGAAAAACCCTCGTTGTAAAAACAAATTTCAAAACGTAACAGGAGATAGTATTCTTTGGTAGAAATAAAGTTTGGAGGTATATATATAAAAAGGTGAAAAAGTGATGCATCGATTGGAAATTGAGACCAGCCCGCCTACCCAGGATGAATCTGAAAACACCCCTATTCATGTACAAATTGTTAACCATAATTACGTGAAATTAAAGTAAAACATTAGAGTACGATGCAATACATTAAATTAAATGAATTTTATGTTCTATACGTACATATTTAATTTGAATTTTAATTGCTTTCATAACCGGGCGGTTTTGTAAAACATTTAATTTAACATAAATATTTAAATTAACCAAGTACAATGTTTACGAATCCATTTGTAAACACGGAGAAATGGAGACCTAGTACTGTATTTCCACTTTACTTGATTAAAACATTTCATGTGAACCGTTTTACTAAGTTATGAAGGATGGTTACCATCACTTCGTATGATAAAGCCATTATATGTATATATTATTATCATCATCATCCACTTTTGAGTGTGATTTAAAATAAAGTTATACTGCGAATATAATTTATGGTGGAGGTGCCGGGAGAATTAAAAGTCTAACAAGCGACGTCGTTCTAGTGATACACAGAATCAATTATACTTATTAAACAATTTTGATATCAATTAATTGCAGGGTGGTCACAAAAGAGATACAATTGAAAAAAATCGATTAAATTTTAATAAATTACAACCGCGAACATCTACCTATAACTAGAAGTTTTTTGTAACACGAATATTTTTTTGTTTCCCTGGCATACTACTGTTTTACATTTTTTCTATACTTCCTTTAACACAAATTTCAAAAAAAAAAATGTTCGTGTTAGAAAAGACTTCGAGTTATAGAAGATTGTAGTTTAATAAAATTAAGTCTGTTAAAAAAAGTTTTTTCAAACAAAGTCTAAAAACTATCCCATGCTACACACTACGACCTATTTCAACACAGAACATGCATATAAAATGTCCGTAGTAGTAAAAGAAGAACTGTGTTTGGATGAAAAAGTTTCTTTAATAAATGTGACAACAAAACGAAAGAGAAAGTAATGTCAAGGGACGTTCCCAACTCATTCCATCATTATAATTTTGTTTCACTGCCACGCATTAAAAAGTTTCATTTGTAAAATTCTGTTGTTTTTTTTTTCATAATCTCGGTAAGTATAATGGAAACTTTACGTAACGGTAGAAAATGCTTGGTCCCTTGAGTTTCGTTACAGAGAGAGAGTTTATGTTCCAACTTACTTACACTTTTGCAATAACACGACTGTACCGAAAATTCCTTGATGTTCGTCTTAAATTTCCTTAATTTAAGGTAATTCATTTTAATTCAGTTAATGCTGGCTGGTAGGCGGGCAGTCCTTCCAACATACACTGTGATGCAAAGTTGGAGAATAGGGCGGAAAACCACAGTTAACAGAAGATAAGTGAAAGACCGTTTGCAGTATCATTTACCTAACTGAACTCAAGAAAAACTTGGACTAGAGCATAAAGCCTCAGAATCCTTACAAATGTTAATGAAGTAATTTTGAATTTTGAACCGATGCACCTAATACGTTCAGCATATTCTATATCTATATTAACAGATAAAGTCTTATTGGAAATGAAGAAGAATATCTTTGGAAAATTAAATTAGCTGCTGCATTTCTAAGTTTGTAAAAGTAAGAAGTCAGTATAGGGGAGGCATTTACAGATTACGGTAATGTTGAAAATTCATCTATTGAAGCCTTTAGTAAAGAACCGTGGTCGTGAAAGATTAGAACTTTTCTTTGAACAATTTCCATTTAGCGCGAGCTTAATCATTTTCAAAAGTGGTTACGGCTTAGCGAGCAGGTCAGAAAAGGTAATTAAAAAGATGCTTCGCAATTAGAAACTTCCGCGACAAAAGGTTGCTTCCATGTTTACGTTTTTCAACCAGCTACCAAAATAAGTTAATTTTGACTTGACCAAATTTCGACTCTATAAAATTATCACAGCGTTACCGTAAAAATAAAATAAAAAGCATAAATGTGAATAGATGATTTTTGGATAATTAATAAAATAAACAAACAAATCAGTCAAATATATAAAAGATATTAATTACATTTTCAAAACTCTTCCTAGTGCTTCCACAAAAATTGAACTTATTTTTGGTTCAAATTTGGATAAAACGACTAAGAAAGGAATGCTTTTCAAGGTAGGATAAGCTATTCATTTACAGTCCTAAAGAATTCTTTTGGTAATAATCCAAATAATGCCAGAAAGGAAAGTTATTTTCCTAATTAAGAAGAACTGTAAAAATTTTCATTTAAAGCAGAGAGAATAATTAATTATATGGAACTAAAAGGCACAAACACAAAAGAAATTTTCGTCTATTTTCATTGTTAATTACCTAACTCCGACTGAAATGATGAAATTTAGTTAAAATATATACAGTGCGAAATAAACAAGTGCTCTATAATAAATGAGATAGAAAAAATATTTAGTATTTACTGGAATATTCCTCTATGTTCAGTATCGATTTGTCTAACACACAAGTTTCTTTTTAATATTGAAAACGCAAACGATGAATTAGGGAAAAAATATTCCAAAATCCAGGAAATTATTTCTTCCTCACTTTTACACAAATTGTAATACATACAAATGGTTGATGCTTATAGTTCTAAACTTTAGTAATCTTTTATAGGCTTTCGTAAATTGGTCGAAGCAAACTATTTTTGAATTAATCTTATTTTAATAATAATATCTGACAAACATATTGTTTTAAATTTGATACACAGTATGAGACGTTACTGCAATTACAAGTAAATATGATTCAAATTTAAAACAATTGTATAATATTAAGGCGTGAGCATTAAAATTTGCTGGTATTTATTACAAAAAGAGAGAAATATTAGATATTATAAAAATGATGCTATACCTATATGTGTCGCTCAATAAAATTCATTTCTATGTTAAATTTTCTTCTTCGAGCGCTTTCTGAAAATACTATTATCATTTTACAGACGGACAGATGCAGATGCATGAATGAATTCCATTTTTAACTTTTGATTTATTAAACTTTAGAAGGCATGGAAATCTATGCGAAAGTCATTTTCTATTATATTAAAATTATGCCTAAAATTGTCATGGAAGTTTACGACAATTAGGGTTGCTTTAGTAATTCGCACCATGATGAAGGGATTAGCATATATAATAAGTAGCACACAGGGTGACGAGAGGGAGTAGAAAAGCTCCTCAGGAAACCTCCCGTTTTTTATAAATAAAAGAACCAGTTTTGGACGTTATTTTATAAAATGAAAAAATTAAGGGATTGTTTTCTCAAATCATGCCACAGGATATTAGTTTTGTATCAAAAGTGGGGTATTCCCCTCTGAGGGAAGCTTTTCCTATAGACCTCCTGCTAATGCGTACTAAAACGTGCATTTTGAGAAGACAATTCAACTATCGCCTATCTGGGCCTTCTTCTAGTTTTCGTTTTGTTTCCCAGATTAGGGTTTAATGAGACACCCTCTAGATCTTATGTTGGTGCAGATGAGGGCACCCGACGTCCATGCGCAGCTAATGCTGCTAGTTCACCCGTTCAGTTTTCGATACTGCGGCGGAGTGAACTTTTCGCTGTTCGTACAAATACAGTCGTTTCCTCAATTCTGCCTAGTGCGGTTTACTCTTCGGGGGTTGTTTTTCGAGGTAAGCAGTTGCACATTGCATGACAGAAACTATTTCTTAAATAACAAATACGTTGCAATTGTCATTACATTTTCGTACATTATTATGTGCTTTTATTTGGGGAAAATAAAATTAACTTTTCCACACAAACGTGGGAAAATTTTCGTATCGTACGACTTGTGTACATTTCAATCGTGCAATAATAAAAGTTGTGTAAACTTTGAACAATTGTAATTGATGATGAAAAACAATCAATTTTATTTGATGTTTCATTTATTTTTTCATTTAGTGTTTAATTTTAGGTGTTAAATTATATTAACATTTATATTACTGGACTGGACGGCAAGGGTGCATTTAATATTAAAACAACTGTTAATTTTCTAAGGGAATCTTAAACATTGTAGAAGTTGTGGCGGCAAAACCGAGAAATAATAAATTTCTGGGTACGGCGGCGGTTCATGGATCAAAGAAAATTCCTGGCGATAAACTTTTACTTTTATGTAATAAGTACGAGAAGTTATGCGGTATTGCGGTATAGCCGAAGGAAATTTTGGAAAGGTTACGATTTTTTCGAGCGAAATATTTTGAATTGCTTATTACATTTCGGTCGGTGAAATGTATTCTGTTATGTATGTGTCTTGTAATCCGTTTCCAGAATCGGTTATTCAATCAAGTGAGGAAATTGTAGCATAACGAATTGGTTATTTAAATCGAGGGATATTTTTTCGTTGTGTGCCAGTATTTTTGGGGGAAGCTTGTCGCGTTTCGATGAAATTTACATTCTACATTTTCGTCTAGAAAAGTTTTACGGTGCGGGTATAGGAAAAGTTGGAATTTCTTCCTGTTTTTCTTACTGCCCGGTCAGATAGCATCTTTACCGCTACGTAACGGATTACGAAGTTAAACTTCTTTTTAAACTTCGATAATTTAGAAACCATCTGAAGTAGAATGGCCACGAAATTGTCAGAGACACTTCAGCGAATATCTAACAACAACATAAGAAATTTTCTACCCTGATACTGATAATGAGGCGATTTTTGTTCTAAAAAAATTTCCCTCAACAAGGAATAATAGTATGTGCAAGAAACGGGTTCATCATCAGTTTCTGGGTAGTTTTGTCGTTTTGTCCTGCGGGTTGAGTTATGATTCGGATTTGAAAGTGCCATCGGCAAACGCTTGCCTTTAAGCAAAGGACACGGCAACATTACCCAAAACTTACGAAATACAGATTAATAAAGTATCTGAATCACATATTTATAGGTACTTAGAAATCGCGTGAGGATGTTTCAATAAAAGGTAAACTTTTCAAATCAAAGGACATTTAAAAGGGATATTGTCTTACAACGGTGGAGCTACACGGAGAAAACAAAATTTTTATGACAACGCAAAAATTACAATTTTCGATTGTAAATGACTAAATTTGTCGTACAAATACTACAATTTATTAGGTAATTTGTAATAATCACAATTTTGACNAAGTTTCTTAATTATTACCAATAAATTTCTAATGTCAATCAAAATACCTAGTAAATTTGTTTTTGCTGCAATTTTATTTTTACAAACTCCGGTCCAAATTGTAATTTTTATTATTTTCGCTCACGAAGCAACGGGATAGTGGGATAAATTGCAAATATCGCTTTAATATTGAAGTAAATTTTCCTTTTTCATTTTTTCCGTGTAGGTGAAATATTTATAAAAAAATTCTTGGTAATATGTCCATATTTATGAAGCAAACATACCATAATTAAATTAAAAGAGTAGGAAGGCCTTAGAAAAAGGTAATAATAATTAGAGCGCTTTTTTTACGTTATCTACTCAAAAAAAAATTTCTTGTGATCTTCACTTTTTTGTTATATTTAATAATAGAATCCATTTAAGGTTTCTCGTTTTATGACAGTGTATATTAAATATACGTATTGCATCTGAACATTCAAAATTTCCACAGTTTTTTCTATTGTACTATCACAACAAAACGATGTAAAAGATTTATAAACACAACAAAAGAACCCAAAGAAAACGACCAGAGACGATTAATCATGCCGTCATGACTAAAAGAAGACGTTCTTTGTTTGTAAAAGACTTGAGTTGCAATTTTCTTCAACCCCGAAGCATAAGATTTTATTACGGTTTTTATTCGGTTTACCATGAATTTGAATAAGAAACATTTTTATTTTTTAAATAAAAGAACTACATACTACATACATTTCGACATCGTTAAAATTAAAACCGACATTCGGAAAAATAAAACAATTTATATATAGCGATATCAGTCAGAGTTAGAAGCATACACAAATGGCAGATATTGAATAAGCTTTTTATACTGTAACCTAAAGGTCAATTAACACCACACCACATCAGTATCGTGTCTGTTTGGCCATTAAAAAAATACCTAAATATCTTTTTATAGTACCTGCGTAATTTTTACTTATTTATTTAAGTAAAAAAAAATATCTTGTGTGCTTAATTCTGAATTGGTATTCGTTTTTTAAATATGGAGTGCTTTTAAAGCGATCTGTCACTGGTTCTTAAAAAACGTTGGAGATTCATTTTTTCTCTCTTTTTTTTTGTTTGAAGTGATTGCGATATATTTTTCACATCATTATGTTACTTTTCTCAGTTCAGTTCCTGTACATGCTCCCTTATTTACCATTGGCAACCGTTTTGATTTGGAAAAGAGACATGATACTGAAGCCAGAATAGTTTCTTTAGAGTAAAAGGTCAGAGCCAAAATAGGGTAGTAAATAATTTGTTTGATGTAGACCCGACTTCAATCTTTTTAAATCAAAAAAATATTTACAACCCCATTTCGGCTCTGATCTTTTACACATTAAGTATTTAATAAGGGAAAGAAACGGAATCCTAGCTATAATTTTTCAGGCTTTCACTGTCGTCGTGCATTGATTCGATATTGTTTTCCGGATTGTTTTGTCGTTCCTTTGATGACGGCATCTTCAGTGGAGCCAGAATATTTTATATTATCCATTTCCAAGGATTTCAGAATTTGTTGCATACTCTTTAGTTGGGCTATTAATAGAAGGCATCCATAGAATGTCCCTTTGTCTCCTTTTAAGCCTCTAATAGCTTTAATGGCCAATGTGAGCCACTTTTGTTCATATTATTATATAACGTTTGATCGTTAATAATAGCAAAAAAATAAAGACAAAAAAGTATTGTAGAAGTAGAAAATACTTCTCATGGAAAACTATTTTAAATGAAATACAAAATTCTTTTCTCGATAAAGTATTTAAATGCAAAACAGAAACAGGTATTTTGAATTGCCCTTTTTAAATGCAAAAAATCACATTTTTAAAGACATTATCTAGAAAAAACAAAAAAATAAAAACCTAAGACGACCATAATAGGCAGGTTGTAGTTGCTGGGTTGAAGTTTATATTCCAAACTTACCTAATAGTTTTTAAGATATAAAATTTCTTGATATTCAATTTCACTAACCAAAATACATTTTTAAATATATTTTATTTGCATTGAGTTGCAGTAGTAGAATTTCATTGGAATATTTGTTTTTTGACAATTCAAATCAGGTAGGTATATATATTCACTGAAATAGAACAGGAGAAAATGGCCTATTTTTGACACAAAAGACTTGAACTGCAATTTTCTTATTCAAATTGCAGGCATAAGTTTTATTACACGGTTTTTGTTCTGTTTGGGTACCATGATTTTGAAAAAGAAATTACTTTTTTTTTAATAAAAAGAGTGGATATGGGTTTGCACTGCTGAAACGTCGAGACTGAATAAAGGTAGCTTGTATTTTAAGTAAAAAAAAAGATGTATGTATGTATGTATGTATGTATGTTTCAAACGAATCAATCGTTTTGATTAGGGCGAAAAAGTTGAACAATCAGTTGTTTTTTTTGTTTCTTTTTTTCCGAGCATGTATTACTTTCATCGTTTGAAAACGACCACAAAATAAAGGGCTGAATGTAACACGGCGGTGAATTTGAAGGAGCATATTCAGCACTTCGAAATCCAGCTTTGCTAACCCAGATTTTTCTCTCTGACTGTCTATTTCATTCGGCTATGTTAAGTGTAAAGTGTGAAAATCAAACTTTTCAGTATAAGAAAACATTAATTTGTTTCCTGTATTTCTGATTTGTTCAAATCTCGAATTGCAGTTACGAAAGGAACTTAGTAATCGATAAATTAATTTATTACTCTTGTTAATTACTTTTCGATAATGTTCTCAAGCCGTTCGGTTGCCGTTAGTGACAGCTTTCATTTCAGAAGCTGTATGAACGCAATTCTGCGGCGGCAATGCGAAAATTCTTCGATTTATGAATTGGTCGACTTTTTTAAAAGTCAATAACATACCTTAACAAATCAACGAGCAAATTAAATATAAAAAAAGAATCGCAATCGGAATCGAAATCGGCGCAAAACATATTTAAATATAAATTAAAAACTCCGATTTCTGACTTGTTTGGCAGAAATTAAAACGTTAATCAATTAATTAAACAATTGTTTCGAACCGTTTTGACTTATTAAAATTACTACGCGTGGGTACAAAGCGTTAATGTTGTGCCCAAAGAAGATTTGCCAGCAGATATAATTAATTAGTAGTGCATAAATTCTATTACTTATTAGCAACACAAACTGTACAATAACAATACATGCTCCAGATAGCTACTCCGCCTCTATTTCCGGGAATTCCCTTTGAAAGGAAGTATAATGCCTCAAAGCATACACTACAACTTCTATTGTAAACTGAGCGCTCAACCTTGAGCATCGGCGAAGAGAAGTAAAAAAGAAATTAATAGAGATACACCTTGTAACAGATCAGTAACAATTTGGGGCATACATGAATTCTATTAGAAAATGAACACGGTGCAACCTAAAGGTTAACATACACTATACATCAGTATCGTATCCGTACCGAAACGGTACTGTATTTCCACTGATGGTGGCACTACCGTTAAAGACTTGCTAATTACGATTTTGATTTGAAGTCTAATAATTAATTTTTTAGCTCTGACATAAAACGTCCAAGTAATTACATATTT